TTAGAGAGACGTAAGGCAAAATTACTAAAGGCTGGTGCCAGAAAGAGAGGCACAATGCAAACAATTGGATAATAGCCTTTCTTGAGATTTCCTATGCTGGTTTTGTGTCTCCTCCCAAGATGGTAGATAGATAGGCATATTAGTTCTTCAAGGAGTCATTGGAAGTAGAGCTTTTAGAGATGCAGCGAAATGTGTAGACTGCGCTTCTATCTCCTTGAAAGCAGGCAAGACCAGTGAAGGCGCGTTATCTGAGCGTTTTTCGATGCCAGCAAACTTTGGCAAGTCACGCTGGATTTCGGGCAGAGCCTACAAGCGAGTGCCACATCACACACAGGGTCGTGCATGGAAGGTTATGTTCTGCAGAGGCGTGCTGCAACCATGTAATGTCCAGAGTCTGGCTGGTGCTTCCTAAAAGCCCTCTGTGCTGGCTTCAGAAGGCAATAGAGAGCTGTGGCAAGAGATCAAGGTTACAAACTCTTCTAGATTCTGCTGCACTTCTGCACGAGAAACTGCCTTTGGTGTCATTTTTTTGTAGATTACAGATATTCTATAGGCATTCGTAGGCTTCGTGTCCCCCGGCCAAAGAATACCTTGCCGTAGTGAATCAGAAAGATGTCCGGAGCTATACCTTGTTGATTGGTTAAGTTGGTATTCAGGTGTGGCCTCGCAGTCTTGCACTTTTCATGCAGATTCTAGCTCCCAGTCAGGGTTGCTTGATCCCGTTAGTATGCGTTGAAGTGTTGAAGAGTTTGTCCACTTCGCCGAGTTGATGGTCCTTGAGAGGCAAGTGCAGATAATGGTAGACTTTTGCTTCTTCCTAGAGGGCAGAGGGTCGGCCGACAGCCAGAGACATGTTCGAAGTGTATAGATTTCCCGGAGTCACGATGATGGGCACCTGCGATTGAAGCGCTGCAAATGGTGCAGCCTGTGTGACAAGACACCAGTTGCCAAGAAGATTGCTCTGAAACGAAGAACACAGCTATGCGCATCATGTGCTTTGACATGCATGGACGTACACCCATCTGGTTAGAGAGACGTGAGGCAAAATTGCTAAAGGCTGGTGCCAGAAAGAGAGGCACAATGCAAACAATTGGATAATAGCCTTTCTTGAGAATTCCTATGCTGGTTTTGTGTCTCCTCCCAAGATGGTAGATAGATAGGCATATGAGTTCTTCAAGGAGTCATTGGAAGTAGAGCTTTTAGAGATGCAGCGAAATGTGTAGACTGCGCTTCTATCTCCTTGAAAGCAGGCAAGACCAGTGAAGGCGCGTTATCTGAGCGTTTTTCGATGCCAGCAAACTTTGGCAAGTCACCCTGGATTTCGGGCAGAGCCTACAAGCGAGTGCCACATCACACACAGGGTCGTGCATGGAAGGTTATGTTCTGCAGAGGCGTGCTGCAACCATGTAATGTCCAGAGTCTGGCTGGTGCATCCTAAAAGCTCTCTGTGTTGGCTTCAGAAGGCAATAGAGAGCTGTGGCAAGAGATCAAGGTTACAAACTCTTCTATCTGCTGCACTTGTGTGCGAGAAACTGCCTTTGGTGTCATTTTTGATATTTTTTGTAGATTACAGATATTCTAGGCATTCGTAGGCTTTGTGTCCCCTGCCAAAGAATACCTTGCCGTAGTGAATCAGAAAGATGTCCGGAGCTATACCTTGTTGATTGGTTAAGTGGGTATTCAGGTGTGGCCTCGCAGTCTTGCACTTTTCATGCAGATTCTAGCTCCCAGTCAGGGTTGCTTGATCCCGTTAGTATGCGTTGAAGTGTTGAAGAGTTTGTCCACTTCGCCGAGTTGATGGTCCTTGAGAGGCAAGTGCAGATAATGGTAGACTTTTGCTTCTTCCTAGAGGGCAGAGGGTCGGCCGACAGATATGTTCGAAGTGTCCCGTAGATATCCCAGAATCATGATGATAGGCACCTGAGATTGGAGTGTTGCAAATGGTGCAGCCTTCAATTCCATCAATAGTGAAACAGACGAGGGCTATGACGAGACACCACTTGCCATGAAGATTGCTCTGAAGCAAACAACACATCTATGTGCATGCTGCAAATGTGCATTGACATAGACCCGTCTGGGTAGAGAGACGTCAGATGAAATTGCTAAAGGCTGTCAAGGCCTCCAATCTCTCGCCAGGTGCCAAAAAAAGAGGGGCAATGCAAAAAGTTGGATAATAGCCTGCTTGAACATTCCTATGCAAGTTTTGTGTCGCCAACCCCAAGATGGCGGATAGATAAGCATGTTAGTCCTCCAAGCAGTCATTGGCAGTAGAGCTTCCACAGATGCAGGAAAAAGTGTAAACTATGTAAACTGGTTTTCTTTTTTCGTTGAAAGCAGGCAAAACCCATGAAGGCGCGTTATCTGAGCGTTTTTCGATGCCGGCAAACTTTGGCAAGTCGTGACTGCCACATCACACGCAAGATCCTGAATGAAAGGTCATTTTTTGCAAAGTCCCGAGTCCCGCAGAAGCGCTTTGCAGGAGTGTACGCTACAACCATGCTATGGTGAGCTGGCGCTACTAGTAGCACGTTGAACCATGACACTGCAAATGTATCCACAAAGTTTAGCTCCAGCGTGACCAACGTCTAGGCTATGCACGTCAAGATCTGAGTGCATGCTGCAGATATAGATTTGGGGGCTCAACATGTCAGATGAACTACACTTGTCCAATTCTCAACGAAGCAGCTGAAGTGTCGATAGTAACAGCAAAAGATTGAAGTGTCGATAGTAACAGAAAAAACATTTGCAGATGACTGGTAAACTCGTTCTTAGCTTGAACCTGCGAACTGGGCAGGACTCTGTAGTTTTGATTTGTCGAAGGGGAGGGGCAGGTCTGAGTCCAACAGAAGACAACCATATCTATATGGGAGCCGTCCGTAAAAGCAGGTCACAAATTTATGAATTGATGCGTTTACTTTGCTTTGCGCGATTGCTAAAACCTGCATCGCGATAGGCTGAGCGATTGGTTGGCGATTGGTTATACGGCTACCACCCTATTACTACTACTACTACTACTACTAGTACTACTACTAGTACTACTACTAGTACTACTACTACTAGTACTAGTACTAGTACTAGTACTACTACTACTACTACTACTACTTTCGAGACCAGAACCATGCCAATAATTGACATGGCCGCGCGGATTCCGCGTGCGCGGAATCCGCGCAGATGTTTTCAGGTCAGAAGGACATTCAAGCTAGCTCCAATTGAAAACAGGTCAGAAACAGGTCAGAAACAGGTCAGAAACACCAAAAAGGCAGCACTTGCCTAGCATCCCATCCATCCATCCATCCACCTCAGCTCTTATCATTGCTACTTCTACTATTACTATTACTACTATTACTACTTCTACTCCTCCTCCTCCTCCTACTACTACTACTACTACTAGTAGCACTAGTACTAGTATTTGGGGCACTAGTAATGATATTACTTTGACGATCACTAAAATTGTTCCTAGTTGGACTGCCCGTGCTGATTTTTTTGAAGTTGAAGAAG